CACATTCACCCACACCACATTCACATCACATTCACCCACACCACATTCACTCACACATGCACACCTTTGGGCAATTTGGTAACTCCAATCAACCTACCAAAATCACATGACATGATCATTTCTGGCTAGAAAGCTGATTTATCATATCTTAAAATATGACTTTTGATTTACATTTAGGGAATTTACTCTAAAATGAGACAAATGAAAATGGAGGGAAGGTTTGAATGAACTGCCTTTATTGAATTGTGAGCCCCAATGTGACAGAAATGACGAAGGACTCACTTGCTTTATTGATCTCAAGCTCTGTTAACTTCAGGGACAATTCTCTGGAGTCCAGATCGCTGGAGTTCCCCAGGATGTTGTGTAGTGCGTTCCGTCGCCCAGTTCTTCCTGAGGCTATGAAGTCTGCATATGTTGATTCAACATCAGTCATCGCTGCCACATTTCACCATAGCAGGGCCTGCTGCACAGGTTCAGATGGACAGCATGAAATGTTAGTTTTGTGTCAATGGCACCAGAAGATTGTTTATCACAGGGTTATTCAATTACAGTCTTGGAAGGCCAACAGATAGTTTCCCAGTTCTCATTACTGCATTAGGAGCACAGTAATAGAGGTGGATGGATTTGATCACGCCAATTAACATCATTGTCCTACAGAAACTGAAACTTTCCTGGACTCTTGAGATGTAGCTGATTGGTTCTAGTTTCTTATTTTTAAGCACTTGTCTTCAGTAACATTCCTGAAGCATTGACTGTTTTTCATTCTGCTGAATAGTAAAGTTTTGACTTGTTTTAGGTCATACAGTATAAAGTTAGTGCACTCCACTTTAATCCATCCCTCTTCTAAAAGTTATACATTACAGGGTTGTAATGTTTAATTAATTAACTAAATAAACTAACACAACTTGAGGGGTGAAGGACTTGAGGGCAGGTGTTGGGGCGAAACAAAGGGGGTTTATTGATCTTAATGAATATAGTCTGGAAACAAACAGGAGCACGAGGGATTCCAAAATGGGCGGACTGGAAAGGAAAGACACCGGCAACGGGAAGGCTTGACATTAATGACTGGACTTAGGAACAAAGGACTGGGAAGCACATATATATGGGCCTAATGAGGGAGCTAATGAGAGGCAGCTGGGAGTGATTTCCAGGAAGGAGAGGCGAGATGAGCGGGATAGGCGTGGCTTGTAAAGGCCATGACAGGGAGATGGGCAGAGATATGACACAAACAATTAGTTGAGTACAAGATTAATTTTTGATTAATCAATTATAAAATATAGAATTTTTTAAATATTAAACTAATAGTAATAGTTCTTCTTTCAGAGAAAGATACACTGCTTACAAATCTATATCAGGTTTTTAACCTTCATATATCTAGGTTGAGGACTCTGATCGAATGGTACAACAGAAATTTGACTTGAACTACGACTTGAACCATTAATTCATCTTCTTATCACTGCTGCTCTACTCGCAATCAGTAGGCTTCTATTTGCTAAACATAGACTTGAATCTTGTAAGAAAAACTAGAGAATGATATGATAAGCAAGTCCCCTGAAGTGCCCCACAGGTCTCTAAATGAAAAACACTAGGGAAGGAACCATTTTTTTTAAATTTGGGCCACCCTATATCCTCTAGGGCTTAACTGGGAGTGACCAATGAGTGGCTGAGTCAAAATATTAATCCAAGAGCAAGACAGGGACTGAAGTCAAACAGGCTCAGCACTGGAAGTGCATTAAGAGCTTTGTGGTTATACAGGCTGAGCAAGACAGAGCTGTATCCTGGATGCACCAAGCTACAGAAAATGCTGACATCTTGGGTTTAAGAAATGGGCTTAGTAGTATGTTCTTTGATGGCTTTGGTGGCCCGGAAGTACACCAGAACCTGGACATGCTTACTGTGATGTGCATCAGATTTGAGAGGTTCTGCCCTCTAGTGCACAAGTGGGCTCCTTATACCGAGATGAGCGGGAGAGAGACTGGGCTCCTTCACGGAGCTGCTCACAGCTGATACAATGAGCATGGCCACAGCTACGCTGTGAGCATTCACACGGCCACATTAGGCAGCCTGCCCGGACCGCAAGAACAGATGGGCGGTTTTGTTTGCTCAAAATAAACCGACAGTTGACTGTCACTTATTAAATAATTCAACAAGTGAAATATGCACAGAGTGTCACAGCAATCACGGCTCGTCCGAGCACGGGCCGGGAAAGCCCGAGACGTTTATAGACATGTTCGGAGGTTCAACGAAATTCAGCTTGTTACATTCGTGCCAGTTAAATGAAATACATAAGATCGTACAAAATTAATCACTGGGGTGACCGGGCTTATCTGCTAAATCATTCATATGAATATACCGAAATATGAACTTGTACATAACCCACATTAAATGGAGCATTGGTTAAAGTCACTTTCTTACGATTCCATAAAATGATTTACGATACAAATTAATGTACCATAGAGCCCCTGTTTAAGATAAGGGTAATGGCAGTATGTTATTATAATGAAATATAATTAATCGCAATTTTGTGGTTAGACACATGATTTTGTGTATTGCATTTTTGTTGGATTTTTCTGTGCGAATGCTACTTGGAACCAGAAACTGCATTTACTTTAAACAACGACGCTGCTGTGTCACCACTTAAACAGTTCAGCGCATGGATCAATTCCTTACTTTTAATTTAAATATAATTCGGGCGTATTTGTTGTGTATTTGTTGTAAAGGCGACACGCATGTGATACATGATATGCGTTTAGATTTGACCCAGTGCAACATGCTGAGGAAATTTACAAAACAGCAGAAGATGGTAATGTAAAACCCCCCAAGAAATGTTCTCCAAATGGCGTAAACGTTGTGTTCTTGTGGGCCCGGACACAGCGCTTTGTTCCAGATGCGGTGGTACCGTCAATAAAAGGTTTCGGAAACAATAGCGAACCGATGTGATGCACAGCTACGGAGATGGGGCTTATAATACAACTATCATCTACAAAACTGGATTAGTTTGTAACGTGTTTGATGATCGGGTCATTTACCAGTAGCCTAGGAAACAATAGGAAACAATACAGTACAGTACAATGTGCATCCTATCACCATTACCCGACGATACGCTGCGGAACCTACTGTATTTTAAATTGGAATCTTACCTGCTATAATCGTCTATGCATTCATCGGTTCGGAAGCTGTATTTTTAAAACATGGTAATGAGATTTTTGTAGAGAATAAAACCGTCGTCCCATACATGCTTTTTTGTTTGTGCCAAAGACCCTGTCTCATACCACCATTACTCGCTAGAGGCTGCGATCCAATCAAAACGCTTTTGCCGGATTTGGAGTACATTATGCATGACCTACCTTCATGCTATGATGACAGCCTGGTTAATGCATCATATTGAACGTGTTTTCTGGAAGAGGAAACCTACAACAAACGTGCGCTCCTTCCGGCTATACGATGCGCCAGGGCACAGCTTCCAGCATCAGCCATTTCCCTGTCACAATGACGTCATCTCCCTCTACAGTATTTTCCCACGGTAGCTAGGTAGAGGAGACTTTTATTATACATTATTATTTTTGTAATCATGTTTTTTTTTTTTTTTTCCTTTCCGTAAACCCGTACCCCTTCTGCTAGCGCCACATTAGGCTATTTGAACTAATAAAAGACTATTCGTTTCTCCAGTCACTTGAAATAGATGCGCAAATTGAGAAATTTAGTTTCATTACTATTTGACAAACTGGCAAAAGCGAAACAATCGTATTACACGTATTACACGTACCTAAAGTTTTGCAATAACAGCTGAATAACAATAGAAAGCCCGTTTCGTTTCTTCAGTCACACCCACGAAAAATGGATGGATATTATACTAGGAGATTCTAGTTAAGCACCTTGCTGAAGGGTATTTCAATAACACTAGGGGCGTCTCTAGCCATTGAAAAAATCAGAGGCCAAGTCAAGCTTACATGGGACTTGATTTTTTTTCTTTTTTTAAGGATGACTGGCAACGGTGACAAAATACTCGGGGCTATACTGATCGGACCAAACGACGCCCATTAATTAACGAAATGTCTTACTCTTAAAACGGTTTCCTCGCAGTCATTTGGTTCATATCCGTAATGACTACACTGCAGGTTGCCTTTATAGAAGCAGAACGTCACTGAATTATTTTATCTACTTCTTCCTAATAAATATTCATAACATTTTGAAGACCATCCGCTGTTTTCATCGTGTCCACCTTGCATTGGTGTGGAAGTACGATACAAGAGATTTTTAATTTTTTTTTTAGTTTTTGTTTTTTCAAAGTTAACTTTGGTTTCAGTGGTGTGCAGGTAAAAAAAAAAAACTCTTTCTTGGGATTTCACAGTCATAAACGTTGAGAAGGTTTACAATAGTTCCATATTTTTCCTTGAAACACTAAAATATGCATGCATCCTCTAACCGCGTGTGCTGGTTAGGTCATGTTAGATATAGGCTATTTGTTAAAAATGTTCATTCTCTGAAGATGGCATTCAAGCTTGAATTAATGATTTTTTGCTAGAAGAATTTTAAGATAGCTGCGTGCTGTTAGTACAGCTTACCCCCCTTTGAAAAGAGAGAATGACCTTCGCTTCGTCCTGGCTTGACCAGGAAGAGAGCCAATGAAATAGGTTTATACTGGACTGTGAAGCGGCTTTGGAGACGAGCTGTAGCCGCATCTCAGGGTGTATATGAAGGAAAGATGGAGGAGACTGGGGGTGAGAAATTGACTTTTTTTTTAAATTTAGGTATTATATGCTGTAGCTGCAGTCTAGTCTGTCACTGATACCATCTATAGATTGTTGAATAGTGATCGGTTACGTTTACAAAATACTGCACGTATGTTCATTATAGCAAATTGATGCCTCACACTGTATTTTCATTTTCTTATATATATAATTAATACAATAAAATAAGAAAATGGAAATCCAGTGTGAGGCATCTATATGTGACTATTATTACTGTAAGTAATCTATGCATTTTGTATAGATAATGTTTAATCTAACTGTAAAAACTAATGTCCGTCGGGTGACTGACCTGGTGAATGTCACCGGGAAAACCCGGCTTTATAATTTGTGACATTGATTTCGGCAGTTTTAGAAACTCCACCCCCCTGCAAGGAGCTGAAGCCTTGCAAGGTGTGTGGGAGGACGTTTTTCCCCGGAGTCCTGGTTAGTGGGCCGCTTTTTTCTGACCATAGTCACATCTCTCAGTTTCTTAGCGCGACTGAGACTGAAATCAATGCTCAGTTTGAGCGACATTGTATCGTATTCGCTATAAACTGTGGCTTTGCGTTTGCCGCGGTATGTCGTGTTGTAGTGAAGAAGTGTCTTTTGGAATGACGAAAATGAGTTAATGTGTATGCGGGATAACACAGACAAACACTAAATGACAAAAATACTGGCATGCATTATCAAAATATTTGCGTAACGGCGTATTAATATAAGAACGATCCAGTGTTATTTACATCTTAAGGGTAGAACAGCAAAATAACATGATATGACTGTTATGTAAAGTAACTTCTTTTCCAAAAGCTATCGTAGTGGTTATACTAGAACAGTCATGATTACTCGATTAAATTCGATTATTTAATAGGATCGAATAAAGAAAAAAAAATCCGAATGATTACTCTGCAATATGACGGAAGGAAGGCTGCACATAAAGGATGAGGATTTAAATAAAGAGCGAAAGCTCATTGCTTGCAAGCATTTCACATTAAAAGTGAATGAAAATTCGATCGTCTGTCATTATTGTAGCGGAACTTCAGTACAGAATGGCTGCAATGCAAACACATGTTTAAAGAAGATATTCCGGTTTGAGTGTAGGTGCGCCCACGTGTAAACTTCAACCACAACCTTAGGGTGTGGTAAGGCATTCACACATCTCAAGACTGAGCTGTAATGGGTGTGGGATTTTTATTGGGTTAAGAAAATACAGGTTATAAAGAAAATGGGGGCTGCATGGAAGACAGCATGGGAAAGCCGGTCGCCACAGAGCATATGGCTGAGTTGGGGCCCCAAAATCGACCTGTCCCCCCTATAGAGGGAGACCCCCTCCTCCTCGGCAAATCCTGTCTACTGTGGCACTCGCACTTCTATGGACTGAAAGTGCCAATCCTAGCAGAGGGCCCAAGCTGTTTGGGGGGGGGGGGACGACAGCATTTCTAGCTATGCCTCTGCTTGCTGAGTTTCCTGACAGTCATTCCTCACTAAGAACAAACTATGTCCCACTTGTAGAAGAAGCATGTCCCCATCTGCCAAAAGAATGCAGCAAAGAAACGGAAGACGTTCAACTCCAGTAGACAGAGGGCGGAAGGGACCGATATTCCCACCATAAAGCCTTTGAAACCAAAGGTGAGTCTCCGTGACCACTTTCTCATGAAAGTATTTACACAGAGGTGATAGGTTTCACACCATGTGTTATATATTATATATTATTATGTATTATTAATGTTCTGTACTCATTAAACACCTTTCTTTCAAACTGTAAAATGCATTCATATTTCCATGTTTTACAAAAAAAAAAAAACATGGATAAAACACAGAAATATTTATATCGTTAAGTATTACTTGGAAAAAATATTTTTCACTTTTTTAAAAAGCTCTTATCCAAAGGTTTTAACATTTCTCCACTAAGAGTGAATTTATTCCACTTGAAAAAGTTGCAGTAGAACTCGAGGGGGAAAGTTTATGTTTAAAATTCTGCAGTCTGCTGTTTTTTTGAGATATCCTCACACTACTTGGTGATGCAACATTGATTCTGCTCCCATGAATCTGCGAAAAAAAAAAAAAACAAAGCCCGAACCACCCAAAAAGCCGTCAAACTGGCGAAGGAAACACGAGGAGTTCCTCACCACCCTCCGAGCCGCCAAAGGCGTGACCCAAGCCGTGAAAGAAGGGGGCCCCCTCCTGCCCCCACCCCCGCCCTCCTATGACCCAGGTGAAGACTCCCGACCATCCTGCCCATTTGTCACTAATCAAAAATCATGTAGAAAAGAATATAGATCAGTGTTTCCAGTCCGTACCTCAGGGACCCGTGGTCGATCTTCTGTTTTTGCTCTCTCTCAGCTCCCAAGCAAAATCGCGTACTGACTATGGGTTCCCATGGATGGGATTGGGAAACGCTGATATAGATAATGGAGTTCGTGACGGAGCAGAGGTTCACGATGCTTCACCTCCCATTCCAGACTACATCCAGTGTCCCTACTGCCGGCGGAGGTTTGGCCAGAGCGCTGCCGATCGGCACATCGCCTTCTGCAAAGAGCAGGCCGCCCGCATCCCCAACAAGGGGAAGATTGCCGGGGAGGGAAAGGCAAAGCTTCCGGCCAGGTCCCTGGTAAATCGCCGCCGCTTTCACATTTTCATTTGATCTCGTTTTGATTATTGTAATTCTCTCTGCACCTGTCTCTCACTTTCCGCACTAAAGAAACCAAAGAAAATGCTGCAGCTAGATTATTGAGCAGAAGCTGGTATAGAACCCACATCCTACCTGTTTGGGCTTCTCTACACTGTCTCCCAGTAAAATACAGGTTAGGTTTTGTTTAGGATTACTAGTTTCCACTAGCTTATACTTTTATAACTTTAACCCCTTTATTCCTTTATATTTTTATATGGTTTATATTTATAATAGTTTCTTTATTTATTTAGCGTTTATTCACTCTCGTTTATTTATATTACTTAGCTTTATTCCGTCTTGCTATTATTTGATTGAGCTGTACATCACCTGTACATTACCTGTACATTACCTGTACATTACCTGTACATTACCTGTACATTACCTCTACATCACCTGCTTCTGTCTTTAGTTTTACTGTAATCTCATATCTAAAGCACTTTGAGCTGCATTCCATGAATGCAAAGCACTATATGATGATGATGATGATGATGATGATGATGATGATGATGATTATTATTGAATGGTGAACAATGTTACACTTGCATGAGTGAATGAATCATTTGCTGTATTTTTGGGTACCACTAGGTGGTGCTCTTTGTTAAAAAATAAAACAAAAAGGCAGCAAGCCTGCCCCCAAAGTAAACTAAGAGCACCATCTAGTGCAGTCAAAAATACAGCAAATGGTTCATAAGGTGTCATTTTGACCATTGCTATTATTATTGACTTTAAAAGGCTCCTAACAGTCACACGCCCATGTATATCCATGACCTTTTGACTCCATATTCAGCAAACCGGACACTCGGGTCTTCTGAGAAGGACCTTCTTGTTACCCCCCCCCCCCCCCCCGGGGGGGGGGTTTTTTTTTAAAAAAAAAAAAAAAAAAAAAAAAAAAACCACCACCCTCCCTCCTTTTTTTTTCCCCCCCCCCCCCCCCCGGTCTAAGTTGAAAAGAAGGGCTGTGAAGAGTCTTTAATGTTGTTGCCCCAAGGCTCTGAAACAGTCTGGCTATGGGCATTAATGGGCAGGCCCATTATTGATGTTTGAACATCTTTGTTTTCTTTCGGTGAGGCACAGATTCGGTATAAATGAACTCCTTCCTCACCTACTTCCTTCTGCTGTGTTTGCTGGACAGCAGCGCCTCAGCAGTCGCACGTGTCCTTTAGAAGGGTGGTGGTT